ATCACAAAACTCCTTTCAAATTATATAATCATTATATAGGTGCATGGGAGTATGTAAAAATCTCGAGACTCACTTCTCTAGAAAAAAATCATCAAATTTTGATATGACGAACTCTACTCACAATAAATAACCGGTCAACTTACCATAAACCTAAGATAAATTGTAAAGTTAATGCAACCACGTGAAATGATAACATTCTTATGTAGACAGTGATGTGGCTAATATATGAACATTCTTCTCCATTACAATTCTGAAGTTTTCACTTTCTGTTTATTAAATTTGTATTAACTTGATAATGACCATAATAGGTTGAAATATTGTCACAATACGAAATAACGTTGTTTTCATAGCCGTAATAACTTTACAATTTATCTTAAAATTGACGCTCGTTTCAAAAGAAAATATGAACATCAACATTAGTGTGACTTTATTCAACATACTCTCTATACTTCCTGAGCTTTTAGTAAATGTTTTAACTTTCTTTCCTTTAAAATTCGTCTTTAACTCTTTGATTATGCTTTTTAAATGTGGTACGACAACGTCGGATCGATATGGTTCTTAGTTCTCAACAACTTGATGTTTGATAATCTTTTTCGCCTTTCTATTTGTAACAATCGTTTAAACTGAAGTTCGAGCTTCGGAAGAATATGAAACTCCACTTGATTCAAATTTAATCTAATTTTACGGTTTTCAGTTACTGGAAACTCAAACAGAACTCATTTCTAGAAGAATTAGAAGAAGATATCATGACGTTCAGCTGTTATCAAATACAGTTTATGGAAAAAAGGATGAATTATTTCTAACAGAATAGAAGAAATACTTTATTAGACAGGAGCAGAATATGTGCAGTGGCCAGTGATATCGTGTACCATTCTCATCGTGTGATAGTTATCATTCTGTAAAGAATGGTATCACCCTCACACAGTGAGGACGGAGTTGTGTTGCTTGTCGTGCCTTAACTCTGTCTTTCTAGAGCGAAACCACCTGACGGGATCCTTAAGAAAGGTCGAAATCGGTGGTGGTATCTTCTTTTGACTTCTTCTAGAAATGAGTGCTGTTTGAGTCTCTAGTAACTGATGAGCGGTTGTGAAATTAAATTAAAATAAGAGTATCGATGAATGTGTAAAATTTTCAACACTTCAAAAGCAGCATGTTCCAGAAAACAGTTTTTCAGGATACCGACTAAAAAAATTTAGTACAAAAACAAATTGTATTTCCACAATTCACCGTAACATCCCATCTGGTGCTTTGATTCTTGTAACTTAAACAAATGTTTATTTTGAACATGAAATTAGCTGTACAGACACATACATATGAATAGTACAACATTTCATACTCTCACAATGTCTCAACATTCTAGAACCTACTATTATCTCCTTAGGACGCAATGGCCTAAGAGACATAACCTTTGCGCTTAGCTTATCTGAAAATATGTCCGTGTCATCATCTAGCTTACCGGTGTTTGATTTGATTGCAATGGATGGATTTTTCTCTTACTGGAAAGATGCACATCTAAATGAGTCCTCTTAGACAAACGACAGGAAAGTGAGACTGAAAACGGTAACTAGAAAAAGAGTTAACATTAAATTATCGAGCAGTAGATATAAATCCACACTTATATGAGACTTTTATGTTACTTACGTCTACATCAAATATTTGATTATTCTAGTTATTCCAAATTTACTGTTAGCAAGTGATTATTTTGGAATACGTGAATCAACTCGACATGCTACTGTAACGCGGACTGTGTTTGATTGCGGTATACAACTATTTGTTAATCTCATGGAATTAGAAGAAATGAAACATTTAGTACCGTATGAAAATGAAATGAAAAAATATGCAGAAGAAGGTCAGATATAACTTACTCGTATTGTAAAAACATTTTTATTTCCATGAAAAATGCCCACCCGAAAGTTTCCCGTCTGACAGATGCTTGCACGCAGAAGTTACCCGCGCGGAAGTAGACTGCTTCACTCTTGCTTTTATGCTACAATCTCATGATAAGAAGTGACAGAGTTTGATGGTCAGATGCTGGACTAACAGACTTGCAAAAGCATATAGTACACGTGTCACTATTTCACTATTATTTATGGCACAATCTCATGATGAGAAGTGATTGTGTTTCATTATCGGGCAACTTTCAAGCGAGCAACTATCCCTGGCGGGCAACTTCCATGCGGGCAGGTGTTGAACAGGCAACTTGCACTTTACCATTTTTGCTGTTGCCGTTGTCATATAGCTAATCGTTACGTGGAGTTTATTTCATTTCCAATCCCCAATGATTCAATTAATACAGACAATCAAAAAGTTTTAGCCTTTTGTCTGTCACTTTGTAATCGATTGAAAAAGGGTGATGTAATTTTAATACATTGTTGGTAAGCTTAACGTCTAGATTTAGTTGTACAATGTTAACAACATGTGGACAGACAACTTGTGCGTGTTTACATTAGGGCTGGACGCGGAAGAACTGGAACAATTGTATCAGTCGTTATCGGAATTTTATTTGGATTGACAGGTATGAATAAATAAATAGGATGAGTAATAGAAATATGACGTACATTTTGTTGTAGCCGAAGCAGCAATAGAACGAAATAATGAATTGCATTTACAACGTCTACGACCAGGTTCGATGATTAGACTACTCCATCCATGTAATAAAAAATCTTTGGCTGTTTTCCGACTTTGCTAATATTTTTCTTTCATCTTTACAGGCCAACACGCTCAGGTTCTAACTATATTAAATATGTATCATGAAATAGAAGAAAAAATAAAACTTAATGCTGATCAAACACCTCTGACAGAAAACTACGAAGCGTTATGATCTATGATTATTGTTTTTCACTGTTTAATGTGTACGATGGTGAGATATTCACTAAATAGTTAGTTTTTTCCTTTTTCTGCGTTACTTTACTTATGTTTAATTAAATGGTTCGATTAAAGCAATAGTTGATTACTCTAAATAGAAATTTTTTATCTATGGTATCACTTTAAAGTATACCTACTCGTTTACCTTACAAAAATGTTGTTCATTTAGAATTTCATTTATTCAAAACTCTGTTCTTTTCTTTTAACTGAACTACTGACGAAGCTTTTGATTAATCAAAACGTTTAGTTAACACAAAACGTACAAAAAGGAAAAACTGGTCATCGTGTAAAAAAGAAAGCATTATGATTTCTTTTATAAAAAAATTAGTTTTATTTTTATTGTAAAAAATAAACTTATTCCCATAGGTGCACATATTATTTATGCATTAAATATACAAAAGTATAATGTTTACTACTACATTACTAAAAAATCTCATTAACATACCATTTTATTAATTTAATTCAAACCTCAGTAATTGAAATTGTTAGAAACATATATTATAAACAACAAAAATGTTACAGTCGACTCACATAATAAACCTAAACTTATACAAAGATACAAAAATAGTTAGTTCACTTACTAAAACTATTCTAGAAATTTTATATCTAAAACTTTGGGTAAATCATCAATTTCATTAATTTAGCTGAAGATACACTCATATTAGCAATCTCATCCAGACGAGAAAAGTCTTTCGACCGTTCGTCGCCCGAGGATGCGACGAGGGTTCGGAAGTCTTTTATGTTAGCATTCAAACTGGGATTACGTCCAATCTCAGATTGGCCTAGGCGAATATCGAATCTGAGATTAGACGAGTCCATACTCGAATCCGACATTGGACGGACATTAGTCCGACCTATTAGTCGGAAGGTAATCAAAAGCATAAAATCAGCCGTATGCCAATTTTAGATGAACGGTTTGGTAAATAGTGAAAGACCAACGTTAAAAGTCGCTTTCTCCCGCTCTGTTGAAAAGTCACAAGTAAAACTATAACTAAAACCGGACATTATCCATTTCTTAAACATTTATAACGAGCGTTAACTTCAGTATTATACATAAAACGCAATGCTTTTTTATCTCATTCATGTGAAAACACAGTAAAATCTGTTCCATAGCCGTAAAACACCATCTCTTCAATTGTTTGAAATTTGGCATCTGTGTTGGCAACCGTTTTGGACAAGATTTTCTTTCCATCCTATCACTTCCTCTTTTCGTTCTCGGTACATGTTGTGTCTCCTCTTTCATATCGAAAAGGAATTACTATATGTAAATTATACAATTGTTGCTCCAATCTTTTCTTTTCTTCTGTGCCATTTTATTAATCCCTCTCTGTGTCTCTGAAGCATGGAATCAATTAGGCATGCAACAATCCCAAGCCAGCGCTCGCTTATCGGCGCCGAACGGTTTGCTACCAAACATGTTCGGTTACTAAACCGTTCGCAATTAAACATGTTCGGTGCCGATCAGCGAGCCCCAGCTTGGGATTGTTGCATGCCTAGTGTGAACTAAAGTCAAATGGGATGAATTTGAAGTTTTCGAAGAAACTAACAGTGAGAAAGTAGACTAACTAGTGTACAATGTGAGCGAATGTGAATTCTATCAAATCACTACTGAAGGCGTTCGGTTCGCTACCAAAGATTTAAGAGAAATAGTTTGTCAAAGCTAAGAACATGAGAGCGAAAAAACACATGAAAGAAATCTCTATAAAACACAAAAAAATGATGAAGATTACACCAAACGAAGGAGCAGCCATGATTACACCGTAGCCGTAGGTTGTCATGTAAAGAAAAGTTTCAATTAGAGTACTCTCTAAAAAAGTTAGACAGTTTAAAAGACCCAAACGGTTTTTCATTTCTCGACGATCAATATTCAGGGCTGACCTATTGTCACCACCGGTAGTGTCACCCACAACCTATTGACACCACTAATGGTTATCAACTACAGCTATCGACACCAGAGAACAGAAACTCATTCGATATAGTTGCTGGATCTCCAGAGTAAACGATCTTCTAGGTAGGATAACTATATACAAAAGCGTGAGTATGTTAGGTCGATGCAATCAGTTGAAAATCGAACTAACCTTGTTTAGTTGTTAGTCAGACTTGATCAGAAAAACTGTCCAGATTCCTGAGTTTATTAAGGTCACTACATTTTTCTTTCCTGCCTCCTGTATATATGGATTTCTTTTGCTATTTGACCATCTTATTTTCTTTTTTTGTTTTAGTACACGCTTCCATCGTTTTTCTATCGATCTCTTTTTTGTTTCTCTCAGCTGCTAAATGGTATTGAATCTTTGATTATGTGAGTTGTTGACGCCAGAATATATTTGCCTTCTACTATTTTCCATAAAGTGACAATTTATCCAAATTTTACTTCTTTTTTATTAGAGGATAAAGAATGTTTAGCGATAAAACACAAGAAAATGATGAAGATTACACCAAACGAAGGAGCAGCCATGATTACACCGTAGTCGTAGGTTGTCATGTAAAGAAAAGTTTCAATTAGAGTACTCTCTAAAAAAATTAGGCAGTTTAAAAAACCCAAACGGTTTTTCATTTCTGTTTCTAAACCCATAAGGGTATAGTAGCATATTTGAGAAACCATTTGAGGGTTTTGTATCGTTACTAAACCGGTTTGGTTTTTTAAAATACTTTTTGGAAAAGTGTTTTAAGATAATAAAGGGTTTTTTGTCAATGTCACAAAACCCTAAAGGTATTCTATTTTCGTTACAAAACCCAAAGGGTTGATATATAAAACCTTTTACTATCTTAAAAAATCAAAAGGATTTTTCATTATTGCTGCTAAATCCCAAAGGTTTTCAATTCAACTTCTAAACCATCTTGGTCAAGAAATAAATACTGTACCTAAAGTACCGTAAATAGAATACCTTTAGGGTTTTGTGATATTAATAAAAAACCCTTTATTCTCTTAAAATACCTGTCCAAGAAGTATTTTAAAAAACCAAAACGGTTCAGTAACAATACTATACCCTTTTGGGTTTAGAAGCAACAATAAAAAAGCGTTCGGATTTTGAAAACTACCCATTTATTTAGAGAACGGGTGAAATACCTCAATCATGGTTCATGACTGTTCGTAACAGTCATTCAGAATATCATATTAGTACTGGAATCATTCACAAATAATGTTACCGCTTTGAGGTAGCTACCTGTTTTTTTTGATCTCTCAAGATAAAGTGTTCCGTAAGGTACTTCACATAATGATTTCACCATGTTTTACCCGGCTTTCTCGTCGGGAACATAATGCAATCAAGGTGAATCATTCGCCTAGGTTCGGCTTGCTTCGAGGTTGAGCTTAAGGTAAGTACACGGCAATTTTATTTCTAAATACGCTCTCTACTTGTCATAGAAACTGTGCTAACAGCTTTTTTTTAACTAAACGACTATTTCCATTTCTCATGACTACAAGGAATACTGACTCAGTTCTTGTTGAGTCAGCATTCTTTCTTCTTCTATATATACTGTTTGTTCGTACATACTAGAGGAGGTGCTTTTGAATAAACCATTTGTACATACAAGTGAAGATTCGAACGAGTTAGGCGGAGCCTAACAGAAGTAGAGAAAGAAAATATGTTTCATCAATAAACAGCAAACTACATGACAGTAGAAGAGTAAACAATTGTTATGAACTGAAATTGAGTATTCATCAACCGGAGAGTTTCAGATATTCAATCATACCGTTTGGCACATACAAACATGCAAAAGAATACAGTTCTCAGCAAATAAATCACTGAGTTTTATCCATAAGGAAATCTGTTCAAAATTTGTCTCAAGTCAAACAGTTCAATTTATTTCTTGTTATGTGCAGTTACAATAATGATAAAAAAATCCATTATTACATAATAAATGAAGATGATTTTTTTCTCATACGTTTGGGAGGGGTAGTACTTAGGGCAGCCCAAAAGTAGTGGCGAAGGTACTTTGTTTCCGTACAGAAAGCTTGAGAAAACTTCAATTTGTTTTCAAAAGATGCGCAATTTTATTCTCTACAAACTGATGTAAACTATATTTTCTAAATTCTAGAAGTCAAACACTTCGATGGAATCAAGTTCAACCACTTCCCATTGATTCTCAGAATGTTTTGCGAATTTTCTTTTCTACTAACGACAAATACTGAGAAGATCAGGTATTCATTTTTCGATAGGGTAGCAACCGCTTTTTCTAAGATATACAATATCTTCTGGATCCGGTATCTGTTGCTGTAGGAAAAATTCTTTTATTTAATTTTAATCATAAAAATCGCTCCTTTGCTGCAGCAATTAACTATTTCCTAACCCTATAAAAATATTTGTTCACTGTTTTTGTGGTAGGAAGAAAAGTACATGGTTTTCGTACAAACTTTATATTAATGATTTTTTCTGAGCTATAAAACGGTTTCTCATAATGTTTTTTCTGAAGACATCAACTGGAAGGGGAAAATCGTGCTGTTTTCGATATATGACTTTTAGAAAAAATGTCATTCACCGAGTAGAAAGTTACAACGAAAATTTCTTAGTATATGCAATGGGTAGACATTTTTAAGGACTATTTATTGTAGACTCGTATTTTATGAGCCCGATATTTCTGGGGATTCTACACACGAACAATTTCAAAATTCAGTGGAAACTGGTTGAACTTGAGTCCATCGAAGTGTTTGACCTCAGGAATTCAGAAAATATAGTTTACATCAGTTTGTAGAGAATTAAATTGCGCATCTTTTGAAAACAAAATGAAGTTTTCTCAAGCTTTCTATACAAAAATAAAGTACCTTCGCCACTACTTTTAGACTGTCCTAAGTAGTGTGCGAAGAACTCCATGACAACGGTGGAGAATGGAATTTGACGTAGGAGAAGCCATCTAAAATTATTACAAATCTGACAATTCATTGAAAGACTAAGTAAAGTGCAACATGCAGTTTCTGTATTCTCTTTCTAAGATTTATTTTACTTTCTTCTTACTGTCGTCGGTTTTGAATATAGTCACATCACAATTCCACGATACAAATCTATCTGTTACAGAAAATAAGTAACTATCATGAGGTTCGTTTACTTAGTCCATTTTTTCTATCGTTTATAAACGACAAAAATAAAAGAAAACAAAAGTTACTATCCTATATCTGTCTTTTATGACACGTCACAAGGCATGCGACGAACAGAGTGAAAAACTACATATCACTATGGTGTCTAGCGAAATATATGCAGGACTATCGATAATCATCTTATCTCTAGTACAATTTGCACATTATCGTTTACTCTAGATAAAATAAACGTTTTCCTTCATCTGACCAATTCCGATCAAAAAAGTTAACTTTTTAAACAATTTGGGTTTGCCCGATAAAAGATGAAAGTCAAATCAGTATTATTTGTGTTAATCAAGAATGACGATTAGAACTAATCGATGTTTCATTTCATTTATGATGTTCACTATCCGACGAGTTGCTATTTTCTTAACAAAATTGTGCAATAGTTTATCAAAGAGAATAAACATTTGATAAAAAATAGAGAGAAGAAGAATGCATAACAAATATATGTTCACACATTACGTACATGTGAATAATAATAAATCAGAAGAGATCAAGATAAAAAGTTTTTTTTTTTCTTTTACCTATATATAAAGCGAGAATACTAACTGTTTCAACTATTTATTTGAATCTATCGTTTGAACACACATCCAAGATTAATATACATGAATCTAGTTGATAACCAGCCTTATACCGCAGTGGGCGATATTCTAACTTACCAATCGAAAGTACGTCCAACAAAGTCATGTCTGTTGTATCCAAATCCATCTAATAGTGAAGAATATTTGTCTGCAACCTATGCCCAAGTGCATCAATTTACAACTCGTTTAGTACAAAAGTTTTTATCACAGTATTTTAATGATAATCCACCAACAACGTCCACTGTTATTTGTATCTTATCAAATTGTACTACAGAATATTTCTTGACGGTTTATACATTATTAAAACTACCTAACGTAATTGTATTTCTATTGAGTACACGAAATTCCAAAACAGCTATCGAACACTTAATCAATGAAACACAAGCTAAATATGTTTTTACAACAAAAGATTATTTAGAATTATTGCCATTAATAGAAACATTGAAAATAATACAATTTGACAATGATGTACATATCAACGATTTACAACAGTTAACAATAGTTGATAATAAAGAAAATCTAAGATCTCAACAATTCGATGAAATACAAATGATATTTCATAGTTCTGGTAGTACAGCATATCCAAGACCAATACGATTAACAAATCGTTATTTCTTCAATATTTACTATTCTCTATTAAGTGTTAATAATGATTGGTATAATGAAAATGATATTGTACTTGCATGGGGTGCTTTGTACGTCTATTACTTTGTTTTGTTGTATAATAATAATAATAATAATTATTAATGTATTTATTTAGATATCATATACTCGCCTTTATGACATCCGTATCAATTTGGCAAGCAGGTGGCTGTTTTGCACTTCCATTAACAAAGGTTTATCCACCAACACCAAGAGAATTGTTTGTGAATGTCAAACAACAAATAACAAAATTAATAACAGTACCAGCTTTATTAGGACAGTTAGTCGATGAAATCAACTCACAATCAATACCTAATTTTGATTCATTAAAAAAAATGATCTTTATTATGTATGGTGGTGCACCGTGTCCAGATAATATATGTCAAATCTTAGTTGATAATGGTATTAATGTGATAAGTGCTTATGGAACAACAGGTACGATCTTTCTAAGTATCTTTATTAAAAATGAAATAAGAAGATATATCCTATTAATCGATTCTTACAGAAGAATCTGCTACGACTCGCATAAGAATCTTTATTGAATTCTTACATAAGAAGTCCGCACGAAAGTGAGAAGAATTTGACAAAAAGCAGATAAGGATCAGTTAATTAGGAATTCGACCACTACGACCCACACAGAAAGAGGCAATAACTAACAAAAATTTCCAATGATCTTTTTCTTCTTTAGTGAACTATATAGTTCATTAGTGAGTGTGTAAGAGGTCGCGATGCATTTTTAAAACGACCACTCTTACGCAGAGTGGGTATTTTTTGCTAGACCAGGCGGACTTTAGCTTTATGAGTGAACTAAAATTTCATGAACCACTTTTTATAGGTTTTTCATGATCCTCTTTCTAATGGCATGAGAGTTGAGTTTTGAAAAAAGTTTTCTAAGGAGTTTTCCAGTGATCCGGCCTCTGGGAAACCTTCAGAAAACTTTCTCAATATTTAAAAACGATGCCACTGGAAAGAGCATTGTCGAGAACCTACAAGAAACATGTTTCGAGTCGTTCAGGTTACTCTATCTTGAAATTCAAATTTTCAGCACGAAATTGTTTGTGTGAATCTCAAAAACTAAGAAATTTCTAGAATTCAAAATCGAGCGACCGAAACTATATGAGTTATACACCATTCGATGCAGTTTTTCATGCTGATTCCGAATATGGTATTATATTTGAAGGGAAGTGCATTTATAAGCGAGAAAACCATGAAATACC